CTTTGCGGCCTTTTTCTCCTTTTCTCTATTTTTTCTTTTGTGTATGTTTTTTGTTTCGTTTAGTTTAGGTTTCCCCCCTTTTTTGTATTTCCTTTTATTTTCTTAAATTTCCTGTTGTTTTTGCGGTAGAATTCTTCTATCTAGGAGGCTAGGAGAAGAAGGTTGGGAAAGAAGGCGATCATAACGGACTGATGAACCAGGTCGGTGAACTGGGGTGGGTCTGCTTAATGAAGGTTAACCAAACCAGGGAGATTAAAATCATCTTTGGCAGGTCATACACAGGTGCATGAATACTTAGGTACTCTATATAGGTAACCGGGTGAGTCACATTCCAGTAATAAGATATAATATAAAAATTCTTTGGATTGTCATATATGATCAATAAAAGCAGGGCATGTGGCATGATCATCAAAAAAAAAAATAAAAAATAAAAAATATATATAAAAATAAATAAAAATTTAGTCGTAGCTTATTTCTTGTATAGACATTTAACTTGAACAAAGTTTTTATAACAACTATCTATTCAAATTCAATAAAAATATTTGCATTTTAATTCTATTAAATCATAGAATTTAAATAAAAAAAGTTTCATTGAATTTTAATAGCTGCTTATTGAGAAATATTCATTAAAAGTAAAAAATTGGCCATAGCTTCTTTTTTTTAATAAATCTAAAAGTTAAACGAATATTACTCAGCACCTACTAGTGATTGGAACCGGTTTTATTTTCACTAACCGGTTTTATTGATTTTTCAAACATAACAACCGAATATAAATCGGTTATATTATCTCCGGTTAAATCCGATTAATCGGTTATAATAATCCGGTTAAATCCGATTAATCGGTTGTAATAATCCAGTTAAATCCGATTAATCGGTTATAATAATCCGGTTAAATCCGATTAATCGGTTATAATAATCCGGTTAAAGTCGATTAATCGGTTATAATAATTCAGTTATATTCGATTAATCGGAAAATAATCTAGCTAAATTCAATTATATTATAACTAGAATAAATTATTCGTGATAGGTGGCGCATTCGCGCCACCCATCTTATTTAGTTTTTTTTTAAAAAAGTTATATTAGTAGTTTACTAAATAGGGGTATTTCACACTCTATACCGTACGGATCCGTTCATAATAATCTGCATAATTTAGAAATGTTCTTGGCAGATGATAATTATACAGACTAATGTGAATAAGAATCTAAATGAGATGTGAACAGCTCGTATTAAATACTTAGACCAATGAATAATCACTAAACTTAGACTAAGAGTGCTCTTAGGTAGCTATCGAGACCATGCATAAGTACTACGATTAATTGAAGCGATCTCTACTGTGATTTTGCTGAAGTCTGATAAAAAAAGATTTTTTTTCATCGCGTACCGGAACAGGAGGAACCGTTGATGTTACACAACTGATCCTTCGCCCGGTGTGCAACATATAAAAAAATTAATTTACAATACCAGATCACTCCGCTAGTACATGTTATGATTATAATCCAACACATTTTTATTATAACAAAATGGTGTTGGATTATAATCATAACATGTTCTAGCGGAATGATCTGGTATTGTAAATTAATTTTTTTATATGTTGCACACCGGGCGAAGGATCAGTTGTATAACATCAACAGTTCCTCCTGTTACTTACTGGTAAACTACTTTCCACCAATTAAATGGAATTTTGACCTATAATTTATGTATTTGAGAGAACCTTAAATCATATGAATAAAAATTGAAACAAGAAATTAATTAATACGTATATTGATTGATAATATTCATTTGATTAAATAAGAAAATACTTAATTGTAAAAACATGACAAAGAGTTTTGTAGACCAATTTCAACCCATTGAAGATTTTTAGAGCTGTTAATACTTGTATAGATTCTTTAAATACTATATTGCTTTAAAATCATTATTACTGTAGCAACATAATAATATTTAATCAAAGCTTATCGATAATATTTACCACAACTTGAGCCATGGTCAAGCTCTAGCCAGAACACAAGTCATGGCCAATAATTATGGTTTAATCTGAAAGCTATGACTTTAAAAAGCAATTCAGTTGCAGCTAATGCTGATAGTTAAAAGCTGCAAACCTAGTTATAGCTTAAGTTGCAGCTCATCAGCTCTGAAGACAGTTGACAGTAAATCCGTATTTGGTTAGTTCAATTCCGAAGGACAATAATAAAGCATTGATCGTCATTCACTTTAGTTGAGACAAAACCTGTTAAAGCAATAAAAAATACAAGTTCGTTATGGTTAAACAAATTTCATACTATATATATAGTGCTATGTGATGCAAATATCATGAAGCTTAAGTACAGAATTTCACGTTTCATTGCATTTAACGCGTCCAATCAGTTATGAAATTTTGTGGATGTACAGCACTAAATTGCAATATTACATATTACTCCGTTCCTGGTACGTACATATGCGGATTAACTAAGGATGTCGTAATAGTTAAAAATTTGACAATCATGCTGGCGATCAAAAATGGCATATTATTTACAACCTGTTACAACATTATTACGTAGTCAAAAGAAAATCCAACATTACTTCTGATAATGTATGTATATTAACTAATATTATATTATATAGACATAAGTATAACATATTAAACAAATTAATTTTCTAGAATCATGCAATAATTCTTATGATTGAATTTAGTCAATAGTAAATTTTATCAAGCTAAGAAAGAAACAAAATTTAATAATACACAAGCTAAGCTATTATAGGACGAAGTGTATATATAAAAGGTGAGACCAGTTTTGAAATAGAATCACATAAAGTGTATTGACAACAGTGAATAAATAATCAACACTAAACTATCAGTAATATTCAATCAAAGTGTCTATGTATATTGCGACGGTCACAGGATTTATCTCAGATCTTTAGAATATTTCTTTCTACTTAACTTTATTTGTTTTTTTTACTTAGGTATTATATTAGCATTAATTATTACTGTAAAATATATTCTCTTACCCTACTACAGTACTAGCGTACCAAAGGTTCAATATGCTTCAATTCCAGTTCTGATCACGTGATAACAAATTATAGTAAATTGTCGCTTAAAAATGAAGTAGTTCATAAATTTAATTAATTTAATTTCTTATATGGCTCTGATTACTACTTTAACTCTCTTTTTTTTTTTTTTTTTAATAAAAAGTAGGAGTCTACTGTAACAATTAATTTTTACTGGGCCTTCTCATTTCTAATTCTTTAAGTTGTCGCTTATCTTCCATAATTGTACTAACATTGCCATGTTAATCTTATCTTAGTAGTATTAGGTATCATAACATAGTTGGAGGCTTAATTCATGCAACTGTGAATATGCGATGGTTGCAGCGAATATGCTGTAGTTATTACAAATACGCAGAAGTACCACAAGTACATTGTAGTCATTATGATCATGTTCTCAATTCAATTTGAAAGAATCACTTTATTTATCAGAGAATAAAATTAGAATTTACTAATTTTTTATAATCACAGACCTAATTTATTTTATCAAATATATTATAAATGTTCAAATTTCCAGTACAAAGTATACAATTTATAAAGTTATATTGCAATAATTACAGTATTAAAAACTGTTATAAACTAAGATATTATTCTTGTGGTGGAAACAAATCAAAATAAATTCTATTACGTTTTAAAAATAAAACCTTATTCACTAAATCAGGCAACAAATGAGTTCGTTTTGATGAAATATGATTACCGGCATTAGAAAATAATCTCTCACTCGGCACCGAAGTTGCCGGGATAGAGAGATATTTTCGTGCTAGCTGAGATAAAATGGGCAAGCTACTTTTATTTTGTGACCACCATTCTAAAGGATCCTCATTAAGTTTAATTTCTTTCATCCTTACATAGTGTGTTATCTTACTCACTTTCATATCGGTTTGTGAAAAATTTGCCTTCAACTCGTGAAAAAAGTCATTAGTATTGTCATCATCATCATTGTGATTCCTTTCTTCAATATTATCTGGAACAGCAAGCTTTATTTTTAATTCTTCATATAGGACTTCTACCAAATTCTGTGCTTTGTTTCGTTCAATAGATGTTGTCCAATTAAAATGCTTAAACCTAGGATCGAGAAATGTGGCAACTAGAGCAATATCTGACGGAGCTTCCCATAATTCATCCATTGACAAATAAATAGCAGCACGAACTCTTCTAAGCAAGCCAGTAGTAGCAACTGGTGGCAAATATTCTACTCTATCTATATCTTTCAACTCAGTATTATTGGGTTGTACACGCGATCTTCTTTTTTGTCCTCGACCACGAGCAACCATTTTTTGACGAAATTGTCTATGTGCATATTGCCAATGTTTACGAGTACCAGCGGCAGGAATATCATCATCACTTGTTTCATCACTCTCATTCTCTTCACTTTCGTTATCAGTATTTTCACCATAAATAAGATTCAAATAGGTATCTACTGTTTCACCTGTTTTTGGTGCAAACTCTTTCTTAAGTAATTTCATATATGGATGGACAAGATTAATAGTCGGGTATTTAGCGCCACATAAATGTCGAGTTACTCTTTCAATCGGTTCCAGTAAGTTCACCATATTTTGTATAAATCTAATTACAGTAATAAAAAAAAAAGTTATATAAATCTCTGACTTCAATATTATGCTTTAAAAAATAGGGTATCATTTAATTATAATAAGTAATATTTTGAAATTTACTCTTTTTCATTAACTGATAAACACAGTCTGTCAAGCTTTTCTCCTTCTCTTTTCGAAGTATGATCCAACTTGGCAAGTAACGAAGTTGAAACAAATCTCATCGCATTATGCAATTCCAAGACACGTCTCCAGGCCAAATAGGTGGCATTCCACCTAGTTTTTACTTCTGTTAAAACTTCAAGAGGGTTTTCAATAATATTTGGATTTCTCTCACTTAAATTAAATTCACACTATGCTTCACGTAAACGTTGTGCCTGTTTAGGCAATCTAAAAAAGGCCTGTAAACTTTTAACACGACGATGAATAGCTTTACATTGTTTTAGCCCTTCTTTAACTGACAATTGTAGAGTATGCGCAGCACATGGTTGGCGTACGATATTGGTAAAATAGTTTTCATGCAATAAATTTATTCCTTTAACCATATTTGAGCCATTATCAGTGGCTACAACAAAAACTGTTGGCTCAAGACGCCATTCACAAATTATTCGAAACAATTCTTCACTAATTACTTCTCCAGTATGTGGGTGCGCAAGATGGTCACAAGAGAGTAAAGCTTCTCGAAACTTAAAATCTGAGGACAACCAGGTTGCTGTAACGCCTAAATATCCATGGCGAGACTTGGCTGTCCACAGATCGGTAGACAAATGAACAGCTATTGCGCTACTACTAAGTAGAGATTTTAATTGATCGTGACTCCAATTATACGCTTCATGGATTAATCCCTTGGCAGTTTTATCACATGGAATTCGAAATCCAGGTACACAAGCATACATTAACTCACGAAATGATTCATCTTGTAAAATATAAAGAGGTTTGACAAACCGAATAATAAATTGAATCAATTTTCTTGCGATTATTTGTTGCATATGTGGTGAACATGGTGGTACCATATTATTAAAGTAGTTAGTAACCTTGGCTTGATCATATTTGGGCTAGTAAGTAAAATAAATTAATTTTTTTATTTTAACAGTAATGAATTACAATAATTTAATTCAATAACCCATACTTCATTATGTTCATCCAAGTAATCAGTATAATTGTCTTTAATTATATTGTGCTTGTCACGTAAATGGGCTATCAAATTGGATGTGTTACCCCCTTACGGCTATAGGGATAGGGATTTTGTCGAGTTCCGGTAAGGTTACGTTCACATATTTTGCAGTACGCAAACTCAGAATTGTTTTTATCTATACGAAAAAAAAAGAAGTATGGCTTTGATTACTACGGAGAATCCCAACATTAGCCTTTCATTTTTTTCGGCTCACAGTTGATGTAGTTGATGCAGACGATGGTGTCGTGTTAGATTCCTCGGTATCCGAGATAAGAGGTAAGGACATTTTTTTGGATGGAGTTTTTTTTCAATTAATGAAATTGAAATATAAATTTGCCAAGAACTTTTTTTTCAACTAGTGAAACTAGCAAAATTGAAGTTTAAATTATCCTGAACCAGCATTATATATATTAAATATTAAGGCTTATTAGGATTATACATTCAGATTATACGACTTCATAGTATGGAAATTGTTTATCGATAATGTATCAAGAAATTCTCAAGCATGAGAAGTTTTTTCACGCTAGAGATTGAAGCTATCTATTTTCCTATTTAAATTTAATCGATATCTAGATTATTTGTAATTTACAGATATCCAGATCGCATCTCTATTCACACTATCTTATCGTTATACAAATCTGGGCTTTTCAGGATATTTTCAATTCAAAAAATTTTAGATTCTTCTGAGAATAAAAATATGCATCATGAAAGAAAAATGTTCCACAGTGTTCATTTTTATTAATAGGTAACAGCACTTCTGTTGAAAAAACCAAACTTATAAACATATCATTTTACAAATAATTTCAATAAAAAAAATGGATATAATACTTGTATAAGCGCGAAATAGTGCTCATTGGCGTTATTTCGACATTAAAATAGTATACATTCTAGCAACGTGAATTTATTATATACAGTAATTTGTTTGTATGGCAAATTATGCATTATGCATATATATATATATATATCATTAATGTAGTACGGTGTAGAAAATTAAAAAACTTCAATTACTTAATATAGAAGACAATAGAATAGCGACAACCAACTCATTGGGAATACACCATTAAAGTTGGTTTATAGCGATAGCTGTTTCCAAAAAGATATGAATGATAATAGATCATTATTACAGGTTTTCTGAGTTTTAAAAGCCACTTTAACCAAATTTTTAATTTCACTAATATAGAGATTGTAAGTATGATTTTTAGAAACTTTTGAAAAATTTAAAACTAATGACTATATGAACGTTTGAACGTTAACAAACAGGAGGAACCGTTGATGTTACACGACTGATCCTTCACCAGGTGTGCAACGTATAAAAAAATTAATTTACAATACCAGATCATTCCGCTAACACATGTTATGATTATAATCCCACACCATTTTATTATAATAAAAATGGTATGTGATTATAATCATAATATATACTAGTGGAATGATCTGGTATTTTAAATTAATTTTTTTATACGTTGCACACCTGGTGAAGAATCAGTCGTGTAACATCAACGGTTCCTCCTGTTATGTTAACATGCATAATTCAAGTAATGCCAATCTAATCAGATTTTGTTAGCAAACGTGGGAAAAACTTTAAGATATAGCGATAAAGAATATTCTTATTTTATGACCGAGCAATTAAGCGCTTCTAACACGTTGGGGAACAATTAAAATTGACAAATAGTTTCAAATAAGGTATTATCGTACTAAAGTGAAATTCAGCACGAATATTTATTTGCCAGGTACGCTTTTCTTAAAAATATCCCTATATTACTATTGGCTTATTACCAAGTTTTTACTTTATAGATAAAGTCAATTAGTTCAATATGTGGCTAATCAATTTATAGAAACAACAAGTTCTTGAGTGATTATAAACATCAATTCTTAATATTCATCTAACAAGGTTACAGAAAATATACCATAAATCCAGACGCAGGTATTACTCAATTTTGTACCCAAGTACCTTGATAGAGGGGCATACTGTATTGAGACACTATGTTTACTGTATCTATCTGTAGCAATAGGAATTCTAGTTATTAATCATGAATCACTAATGACTAAGCATTAAAATTTTATTAATAATTTATACAATTACCACGATTTAGTTGAATCGATGATCTGCATAATTTTTTTCGAGTCTCGTGAAAACAGCGATAATAAATATGCATAGAACATCTTTGTAGAAAAAGATCCAATCGATGTTTTTTAAACCAATTTGTTGATTTACTATAAAATCGTTGGTCACATTAATTAAAAGCTGTAATGGAAGATTCTATCGATGACATATTCTTACAGGAACTGTTATATTAATTTTTTATTGCTACAAATATTAGAGTACATTAAGAATATTGAAAAATATGGTTTAATTCGCTGATTACACATTCTATCGATACTTTCTATGCATAATTTAATTATTAATTTAACAATTCTTTGTTAACAATTAAAATTAAAAATTCCCATCGCTATCTATCTGGTATGATATATGTATTATATATAATACTTGTGTACTCAGGTATGAATCACCATCTAGGCCTTAAAACTGACAGAGGGTAAATGGCATGTAGGGTTGGTAAAGTCCTTAGATCCAGGACTTCAGGCCCTAGTCTTTAAACCTGGTCTTTAAAGACCAAGTTCAAATTTAAGAACCTAGGGTCCTTAGGTCTTTAAAAGTCCCAATATACAAATTTATAATAGTTTATAATTTATTAAAAATAATAAAATTTATTTCAACTGCAAATTTCTGCTATTGCAAAATTCTGGACATCCTAATCAATATATATACAGTATAATTTCAATAAAGTTTTAAATGCATAGTTTAAGATCATAATCATTTATTTAATGTATATAGTTCACATAATATTGTTATTATACATTCTAATAGGTACCGGTAAATGTCAGTGAACTAGCCGCAGCAAAAAACGTGATCTAAACCATAAGACTCGGGATCTTAGGCCGCTTAAAGTTGATTAGTTGGTTAACGTCATCCCCCCTCCTCGGCCAGCTGTCCCCCCAAAAAATTAAACACCAATCATAACGCAGGAAAATCTTCAATAATCATGTGATTAAATCTGACCAATAAGGTTTAATTAAATACTTCATGGCATATATGTGTTTGTTTAAATCCCCCTCCCCCGCGCCTAAAGCCAAAAATATTGACGTTAACCAACCAATTAACTAGAAGCGGCCTTAATACGCATTGATCGAAAAAGCGAAGGCATTTAATAAATGCCAATTATGGTTTGGCTTGAGGCGAGGCTCCATTGAAGAACAATAGTAAGGTGCCTCCATAGTGGGAACTAAAGTCATAGTCATATAAATGAGTATGAATTACTGGTTATCGGACCAAATCTTCTACTCCTTTCGAATAGCCTTTGATTTTTGTTGTGTCTTAGGTTGCAAGTGCTAGTCACCCCAAATCCAACATATAGTAGACCAAGGTTCTAGGACTAAGTCTTGGACTGGACCTAAATTAACCAAAGTCCTAAACCTGGGTTATAAGGACTTGGTCCATAAGTCCATGTGGTAAAACCTACAGGTATAAGACCAGGCCCGGACCAGGACTGGACTTTACCATCCCTATTCCAAAGCGCATATACGTCAATCGTTAGTGTCTTCACATTAGTAAATATATAGGATAATTTAGAATAATCTGTGACAATTTAGGAATTTAGAATAATCCGAAAACAAGCTTTACTAATAGGGATACTTATCGTGATATGTCATTAGTTTAAAGTATGGGTATCAATTAAGGGTTAGCAAAGTAATGGTACAAAAATTTGGCAGTTCCGTGATTTTTGAGACTATGAGCCACAAAATCGGGCTTGCATATAGAATTATATTTCATGAAAAAGTTAAATATGCGATTAATTGATATTGAATATTAACGATCCAATTTCAAGTTCTTAGTTTGCATATAATATTTTCAGTCTGATTTTTTTGATTACAGGATTGCACTATTACAGTTTAAATAGATTATGTACTGTATATGTGTTTAAATAAAATTTTAGAATTCAAAAATAACTTCACGCATGACAAATATATATCGTATTACATAAATAAAAAAATTTTTTTTATCTTTATGCTTTTTTGACTTATTAAATTTCACCGGACCTCACTAGATCTCACTAAACCTCCATCCAGTGTAAAAATATGACTAGAAGGGTCTAGTGACAACTTACCACTGGAACCTAAATATCTTCCAGTTTCATCCGATTAATTCCAGTAATCCTTCCAGCCGATTAATTGAATACAACCGGTTATAATCAACCGATTAATCGGATACAACCGGTTATAATCAACCGATTAATCGGTTGTATCCGGTTATAATCAACCGAATACAACCGGTTGTAATCAACCGATTAATCGGTTATATTCGGTTATAATCAATCGATTAATCGGTTAAATCCGGTTATAATCAACCGAATACAACCGGTTGCAATCAACCGATTAATCGGTTAAATCCGGGTATAATAAAATCGGGTTATCGATTTAAAAAATTTTCAATCCAGTTGTAACACATAACCGGTTAGACCCGGTTATAAAATTCGATTCTGATAACCGGTTCCAATCACTAGCACCTACCTGGTCAAATTTGATTAAATTTTTTTATTTTAATTCTTTAAGTTCAATGGAATTAAAATAAAAAAATTTAATCAAATTTTACCAGGTAGGTGCTAAGTAATATTTGTTCAAATTTTAGATTTCTTTAAAAAAAAAGCTACAGCCAATTTTTTATTTATTTTTAGACGAAGATTCTTTGATAACCACCTAACAAATTGGATTAAATTTTTTTTTATTTTAATCCTATAATCTCACAGAATTAAAATAAAAAAGATTTTATTCAATTAGTTGTTGAAAAAGCTTTTAAAAAAAGATGATTTTTCTGATTTTTCTATTTTCTCTTTAGATATTCCAATTTTTAAAACTTCAAGCAAAAATTTCCTAATAACTACCCAAGCAAATTTGATGTTTTTTTTTATTATAATTTTGCAAGACTAAAGAATTAAAATAAAAAAAAATTTTATCAAATTTAATTATAAGACTATTGAAAAACTTTTGCTAGAAGTTAAAAAAAAATTAAAATAATTACTATCATAATTTTGAGACTATAATGTAATATTTTAGATGATATAATATTTCATTGTAATTTTGAGTTTACTTGCCAATTATATAATGTTTAATTGTAATTTTGAGCCTATTTGCATAAATCAATAAATAGAGGTTTAATCATATGAATGATCATTTTCTTACTTCATTTTTTTAAGCAAACAGTAAAAATTGCAATAATCTTGTTGTATT